CTACTGTTAGCCTTATCTGGCTTCTAATCTGACATGTTCCAGCACCAAAACATTCAAAAAGACTGTGATATTAATAAGGCATCTAAATAAATTTCTCATACTGTAGGCTGTCATGGTTAGGCAGCAGACAGAAGTAGCAGAGGGGAGTGTTGACACTAGCGTACATGACCAGTAAGAGCTATGAGAGCCTAAGTTGGAGTGAGGTGCAATGCAAAAGGGTAGAGAGGTGATTTAAGGCATAGCCTCTGCTTTTAAAGACTCCCTTTATTTGGTATCGAGCCAGACAGGCCATTCTCACTTCTTTGTTAATCTTAACATCTACATGTAGAGCAAAACTACCTTACTCTATCATGCCTTCTCTCTCCTTATCTGTTTTCCCTTCTCTTCGGGGCTGGGAGAAGAAAATACAGGGGGTCTGGTTAGATAGAGAACCTTCTAAAAGAGCAGTGGCTTCAGAAAGCAAAGACCAGTGGCTGAGGCAAAGGTCAGTAATACTTGGCTTATGAATATATTTTTGAATGTAGGAAAAATTCTGAGATTTCACACACACACACACACACACAAAAATATATATATATAATAGTTGGAGGAGCTTCATGAAACAAGATTCTCTAAATGAGCTCAGCATTTTCAAATGACCTTTCTGTGAAAACAGGAAAGAGAATATGTAGTCATGGGAGTTTATTTAGAAAGGGGTTCTGCTGGTTAGTGTGAGATGAGCTTTCCTATAACATGATCTCCAAATAACTTTTGTAAGATGGACCTGCTTTAAAGGAAGATAAGATGCTCTATAGAAAAAAATTAGCCTAACAGTGGAGGAATAAAATCACTTAATCTCCCAATTTCTAAGTATTTTTCATATAACTGTAAGGATGATGTTATGCATACCAATGTGTGCAATAATAAAATAGAAGGATTTGTAAGTTTGTAATTGGTATCTATTTGTTTTACAACTTTATTCCTTTTTACTACTGTATTTGATATCCATCTGCCTTTATACTGGAAAAACAGTCACTCTGGTTTTGGCTTGAGTTGCAGATGAGGCATATAGGCTGTCTAATGCTGGGGAAAAAATGCATTTGGGAACTCGCTTCCTTATCTAATCTTGGAGAATACATTACACAGGCTGTCAAAAGGACAGATAAAGCTTTGTTGCATGCTGTGTTTTTGCTATAGCTGATAGGTAATTGCTATCAAAATCTTATCATTTGCAAATCAATCTGTGTGAGTTATTGAAACATTCCTGTCTTGTGATTCTGCTGCCTTATTCTCTTCACCTTTTAGCAAATGTTTGTGTTGTGAAGGTGGATGGAACTCCTTATCTGTGCAAAGCTGATGAGGTTGGAGAAATCTGTGTGAATTCAGGTGCGACCGGCATGGCGTATTTTGGCCTCCTTGGAATCACCAAGAATGTTTTTGAGGTTTGTATTTCTATGTTTGTTTTCACTGATACAGTTTTAGTATTTTTTCTTGCAAATAAACTTATTTTTTCCTTTAGCTTGTCCTTTTTTTTTTTTTTTTTTTTTTAAGTTCAGTAATAAAAAACTATGGAAAAATAGTTTGCTTCATTCTGAAGGTCAAAACTTCTCTTATAACCAAAATACCATTGGCAGGCAATCAGCTGTTTCTACGTTCTGTATTCCAGTGTCACATATGTGTTGTTTAGATTTCTCTTGGTTCTGTATTAACACTGTAGTGTTATGTGAAGTTACTTGGAGACTACTCAAGTTTGTTAGCGCACAGCTTAGAATTCAGTCTGATATTCACAAGTCTTGTGTACAATCAGTACGCATTTGTTCAGATATAATACATTATTTTAAAATAAGCTTTGTTTATGTATTGAAAATCGTATGTGCTTTTCAATAGGAAGTTCAGGAATAGTGAACATTATAGGTGTTTACTTGATTTAGTGCCCCAAATGAAAACACAGCATTTTTGAGAATTCTGCAAGAGATGAAAGAAATCCTTTTCACAGTCTTCACTTTCAGAAAAGCTCCTTCTGTATATTTGCCAATATTCTTATTGTATATAAGTGCAGCACTTTTATTAGCTCATGAGCAAACAGATGAGAAACTTGAGGTAACAGGATATCCGGGAAAATAAACAGCAAGGTGAGCAGATGAGAAGAACCTGCTGGATTTGCCAATTGTATTCTGGTGCTCTGTTGTAGACTGCTCTGGAATTTCAGCAAATCTAACCTTGCCCGAGTCTGGCTAGTGCCACATTTGTCACAACTGAAGTGATTACACTTAAATACCTAAGGGCAACATTAACAGGAGTAACAGCCTTTCTGGTTAAGTGCTACAGTACTGCAGAATATAATATCATATTTAAAAACTGGTATGGCATCTTCTTATGAAGGTTAAGTAATTGAGAGAAGGATAGGAAAGAAGTTTGGTATAGAGTTGTGAATCAGTGTGCTCTTTGTTATTCCAAAAGCCCTCGTTCCTGCTAGCCATGGAAGTACATGCTGCCGTCAGTTGGGTAGCTCTTCAAAGGAATGCAGAGCTGCAGTGAAGCAGAGGCGGAGAAAGCATTTGAACTTTGCTTTTCTTTTTCCTATGAGTGTTTGAAAACTTTTCTGTGTGCTTTCAGGCCATTCCAGTGACAGCAGCCGGTGTGCCTGTTTCAGATCAACCTTTTACAAGAACAGGATTGCTAGGCTTTGTTGGTCCGGTAAGTGCGAAAGAGCCACACTGGCCCAAAACTTTGTCCTGACTCCCAGTGTGAAGTGAACACCCAGGTAAACTGGCACTGTGAAGAGGTGCTAGGAAGCCTTGGGGAAACGGAACAGAAAGGCTAAGTAGCTTGCAGGCGAAGTAAAGCTAGGGGAGAAATAAGCTAGCATTGTTCTTCAAGCAGTATTCATAAATTTCTTTCAATAGCAGTTGGCCTCTCTCTTCTGACTGCTTCCCAGTCGGAGCCAGCTGTGGGGATACTGGCTCAAGTAGATGGTGTGGGTGTCCTGGCACTGAACAGCCTGTGTCAGCAGCTTCCCCTTTGGGATCCCACATGCACTCAACCAAATTGAGGGTAGCGGCCTCACATTAATCTCGAGAATATTGTTGTGATTTGGTCAGGAACGCATTGCAGGAATTTGGGGGGCTTCTTCCCCCTCTTTATTTCTAATTCCATCTCCTCCTCAGGACTACTTGGTATTTGTGGTGGGAAAATTGGACGGCCTGATGACTGTGAGCGGCCGCAGGCACAATGCAGATGATGTGGTGGCCACTGCATTGGCAGTAGAGCCAATGAAGTTTGTCTACCGAGGAAGGTGGGTATCTTAACATTTCAGCACCATCAGTTCCTTTTTGTTGTTGTTCCATACACACGCTCTTTCACTACACATGCGCAATCAAAGATTATCAGACTGTGCAAATTCTGCATGTGAGTTTTTTGAGTTTTTATATGTATATTTTACAGGAAAGGTGGCATAAGGCTATATAGTATGTCATGTAAGAGAACTTTGCTGTCCATGGTAACCCAGAAGGCAAAAATTAACAACCTGATTTATATACACTACGTTTCTGAATAATGTGAAGTTATTTTACTGTAGCGTAAACATAGGTCTTTAAGCTTTCATTTCATTTTTTTTCAAAATGTTTCTCAAGACAGTCAAATGAATCTTGCTACAGATATAAAACACAAGTCCTTTTGCCCGCAAGTCCTTCTATTCAGAGTCCTTCGGAGGAGGTCTTTGAAGCATATTCTAAAGAATATAGGAATGTTTTGAGAATTCTGGAGGACTTCCAAAGACACTGTTGTTTCACCACCCTTACTGCTCTTCCACTGAGGATCACTCAGTTCAAGTGCTGCTGCTTTTTTTTTTTTTTTTCTTTTCCAGCTCTAACAGTGACACAAGGAACTATTACTGACTCTAAAAGTCATGTTTTCCTCTTTTTTGTATCAATTCTACCATTCACTTATCACAGATATTGTCATATAACCTGGTGGAGGCATTGTTAATATTTTAGCCCCAAAGTTGCAGGCTTAAGACATACTTAATATGCTGAGGGGAGTATTTGCCAGGGCAACTATTGCAGGATATGATATCCAGTAATATGGCACAGTTCTCTTACCGCCCTTCAGGAGAGAGGGTGATAGGCACCAAATTTAGTGTGCATGATGGAGTTATATGGGAAAGGTTTGCACAGTCCCTGCATGTACAGCACCTGCCTGTATACGCATACATTAGTGACTACAAATCCCCTTGACTTAAAAAGAAATAACAGTAATGCACCCACATTTGTCCTAAATTTGTCCATGATTCTGTGATAATTTGGCATGAATAATGCTTGTGTCTGTTGAAACATAGTACCATTGAAGGCTTCAGTCATTTTCACATTATAATAAGCCATCCTATGTTCATCATATGTTGCATCCTATCATTCTTCTGTCCTTTGTGTTTTAGGATAGCAGTGTTTTCTGTGACCGTTTTGCATGATGATCGAATAGTGCTTGTGGCAGAGCAGCGCCCTGATGCGTCAGAGGAGGATAGTTTTCAGTGGATGAGCAGGGTGCTACAGGTAGTCAGATCTGTCCTTTCTCTCTTTGCAGGTGAATAAGGCTAATGTATGAAACAAGATTCCTAAAACATTTTTTTTCTTCTATAAGAATAAACTCTCAGTATAACTATAAACAGCTATAATAAGCTGGCTTCTGAAAATATTTCAGAGCTGACAGTTAAGCAAAGTTTATAAAAAGTAAGATTTTCTTTCAAAATGTTTGTAATTTTATATTGCTAGAATTCTTAAATTCCTAAAGATGATAGTTTGAAGGGGGGTTTGTTTGTTTTAAAAGAATTTCTGCTGCTTTCATACTGGCTGGGAGAGTTAAGTGCCTGAAAACTTTTCAGGGAATATTGTGCCTGGTATAAAAACTTACCCTAAAAATCTTTTTGTGGCACCAGCTTCCTCATTTTTGATCTCTAGCAGTAAGCACTGAAACTTATTTCCTTTGATTGGGTCCTAGTGTTTCTTTGGCAGCGGGAGAAAGAAGTCTGGCAGCTGCATTCCAGACAGTGGAGGAGTACGTTCCTCTACCTGCCATTAACAAGAGCAGCTGCTTCGAGGAACTTTCCCCAGTAGCATTTGAGGATTTCAGAGTTAATCAATCTGTCCTAAGGAAAGGAGAGAGCAATTATGGGAAAAGAATCAAATGAGGGGATTACCCAATGGCGGATTAGGGAGAACAATGCAAGGGGAGATGCCTCTTAAGTAGGCGACAACTGTGTACTAATGATTTTTATCTAATTTTGGTTTTGTAATCTTCAGAGATTATACCTTTTTATAGAAAGACTGCCTTTCACAGTGGGGAAAAAAAAAAAAAAAACAACCGTTCTTAGAAATAGACACTAGGCTTCAGGCAACAAAATGTTTTCCCTATTTTTGTGGTTTTATGTTCTACTGCGCTTTTGTGATTGTGCCATACATGCTAAATTTGCTGTGATATAATTTTGGCTTTTTTAAAAAAATAGCTCTGCACTTTTTGCCCACTTTTAAGAGACTTTCCTAATCCCTGATGTGCAGGTGGCATCCCCTTGATAGAGTGCACAAGCAAAGTCCGGGGTCTGCTCCTGCTCCCATTGAAGTCATGGCACAACTTCTATGAGTTCAGTGAGTGCAGAATTGGACCCTTTATTTGCAAATTGTGGTGCAAGTAAATTTTTAATGTTATTACATGACTTGAATTAAAATTTTTGCTTTAGCAACATCCCAGGTTATAATGTAGAACGTATTTGTTTTCTTTCTGTCAAGGCAATTGATAGCATTCACCAAGTGGGCGTCTACTGTCTTGCCTTGGTGCCAGCCAACACTTTGCCAAAGGCTCCACTTGGAGGAATTCATATTTCAGAAACCAAGCAGCGTTTTTTAGAGGGTGCCCTGCACCCTTGCAATGTCTTAATGTGTCCACATACTTGTGTCACTAACCTGCCCAAGCCTCGACAGAAACAGCCAGGTGAGTAAACCCAGCGTGTTGCTCAGTTCTGCACCCTGTCCCTGAGGGCGTATGTAGAGCGTGATCTGGAGGCACCGCAGCAGCTCTGTGCTGCAGCTTTCAGCCTCCTGACGTGGCAGAGCTAACAGCGTAGTCATCACAGCACAGAGCTCAGCAAGGGCTGGAGAGCCTGCCTGGAATTATAGATAAATGGAAGGACGTTCAGCGTGTACCAGTTTCCTGCTTCTGTAGCTGTATTGGTAATGGATCCCATACTGGCCATCTTACCAAGGCCAGTAATGTGTGGAAGTACAGACAGACCCAAATCAATAATTGACTATTTTAGTGTACCTTTTGATCTACTCTCTCTTGTTCCAACAGACATGACTGACTTGCAATTTTAGGTGTGGAGGCTTTTTTTTCTTTGTTTTGTTTTTTTCAAATTTAGATTGCATGTGTTGTTACAGTAAAATAGAATCTGAACTCTCAATTATTTCTTGATCCTCAGGGTTTTTTTTATCTCATCTTGTGCCTTTTTTTTAAATGCAGATGTTGGTCCTGCTTCAATGATAGTAGGGAACCTTGTTGCAGGGAAGAGAATTGCACAGGCGTCTGGGAGAGATGTTACCCAGTTGGAAGACAATGACCAAGCAAGAAAGGTAACACTGACTTCTGATAATATAAAATAGTTGAATCGGCCTGTTCAAGAAGAGGCAAGGGCAGTTTGGGTATTCTGGTGAAACTCAGAATGATACATTTTGAGTGAGTGAATGTGTGTGTTTGTTTGTTTGCTTTTCTATTTCAGTTCCTGTATTTAGCAGATGTTCTTCAGTGGCGAGCCCAGACAACTCCAGATCATCCTCTCTTCCTGTTGTTAAATTCCAAGGTGAGATGCAATTTAGGTCTCATTTTAAGATGAGTATGTGATTGCTTAGATTCTAAGAAAGTAACAGATAAGAAACTTCCCCGGGAAATTTTTATCAGGTTTTTATTGACAGTGTGGGACGTCATGGTTTTGAAGCGGGCATAAGTTATTGCTAATTAGCAAACAGTTTTCTCTGTCTGGAGGCTTAGGTGTTATTCTTAGTGTGCATGCTCACAAATCTTTTCACACTTCAACAACAGTTTTCCTAGTAAAGCTGAGACAGGATACTGGAACCGTTCCGTACCACGCTAGGTCCTGGATCAGACAGCTGAAAGCCTAGTCTGAGGATTTCACACATTTCATCTTAGTTCTTAGACTTACAGCTGGATTCTTACAGGACATTTGCTGTGATACTCCTGTCAGTACCCCAGGAGGGTTGATTCAGTCTGTGAATGTTTGTTTGCCTCTCTTGAGGTGGTTGTTCCCCCAGTTCTTCTTGAACTAGCTTGTAGTCTTGGAAATGGGTATATAGCCTTCAGGCTGAGGCATCACTTAGACTGGATAGCAAAAGGATCTTTTCTGTCTTCGCATGAAAATAATTAAAACTTTTGTGCTACCCGTGACTTTTTGGGAGGAACTGCTTAAGGAAAAAAATAGATACAAATATTTCCAGGTGAAGATTTTCTGAATACATAATTGTGGGAAATCCACTTCCTACACCACAGCTAAATGCACAGAAGCAGAAATCCCAGTGCATCCAAACCAGAGCTCAGGTTGCCCCTTTGACCTTTCAAAAGCATATCTGTACCAAAGACAGCATCAGAATCCCTTCATACTTTTAAGACGACTGCTTGCGAAGGCATCTAGAGATCTGGCTGTGCTTGGCAGGGTAATTCCATAATCCTTACTTGCTTGGAAGAAATAGAAGGGTACTTCAAGACTATCTACAGCTGTGAGGGTTTATGGCTTAGTCATGCACTATGTCATCCACCCAGGAGAAGTTTTAATGGGGGGAGAAAAAAAATTAATTGCCAATACTTTTGAGCCTGTGTATACCTGCCTTGCTCGCTGTCTCGGAACCTTTTTAGGCTGCTGTCAAGGGCAATGCAAAAATGCAGGGTTTATACAACATTTTACTCCCACCTGCTGAAGGTGCAGAGAAACTATTCGGGTGCACAGCCTGACTAGGAAACGAGCAACAGTCCCCAGGCTCTACTGTTTGCAGCGTACGTATTCACAGTGTAAATGAACATTTGCAAAGGGCATTTGAAACTGTGGTTATTTCGGAATAACTCTTCCTGGTCCCCTTTCCCACACAGTAGACCTTGTAATTGTTACTCGCATGAGTGATCTACAGAGAAGGTAATGAGAGGTGCAGAAGTAGAATTAATAAAGGTCAGTAAGAAAGGTAATGTTGTCAGTATAGCATAGACAAGCTGTAAAATGCTTTAAGATTGAGAGCTTTCCGTAGCATCTTCATGCAGGCCTGAGTAAGCACAAGCTGATGCAATACCTCATTTGTTGCTATAAAAAAAAAAAAGTTTACTACTCTGTTTTTATACTTGATTTGGAAATTTCAGTATTTGTAAGGTATTCTTTTATGTACATTTAGAAACAGTTTCACGGACTGAAGCTTGAACTTGCATATACAAAAATCTCTAGAATTCTAAGTTGGTGAAAGGATCAGCATGGCTTCTGAAACACCAAGTGTATTTTAAATCTTTAAATGTTTGCCCTATTGTTAAAATAACTGGAGTGAAATATTGCAGCAGCAGTAAATATGCTAACTCCATTTCCAGGCAATCACTGCAGCATTTTCCCAAGTTGTTTGTGTTCTGTGCAGGGCACTGTAGCTAGCACTGCGTCTTGCATACAGCTGCACAAGAGAGCAGAGAGAGTGGCAGTTGCGCTCATGGAGAAGGGACGACTGAATGTTGGTGACCACGTAGCCCTGGTTTATCCTCCAGGTAAGGCAGTATAGACAGCAAAAATCGTGAAGTCGGCACCACAGGAAACAAAATGTACATCTTGCCAAGGTAGAGCATTCAAATGTCCATTCAGTTCACTGCTGTACAGCTGGAACTTATTATGGTGAAAAGGAGAAACTTTGTCATTTTATTGCTAAGTTGTTTCTGCAAATAACAAACTAAATTTACCAAAACATATTCAATCTAGACCCTTCCAGATGTCTGGGCAGTTATAAAAAATATTATTTGATTTAAAGTACCCGAAAGATTTTGGGTTTTCAGCCCCAGAAAATGAAGTAGAACTGTGCCTATACCCATGGAAAATGAGGTTAGGAAGTGGCTATTGTTAATCTTTATTTGAACTGAATATTTGAATATTTGAACTGAAGCCTGAATGGTTATTGCCAAAAGAGAAATTTGGACCTCAGACTTTATATTACTACTGTGAGTTTACAGATGTGTGCAACAGGAAAGAGGTAATACCCTGTGGAAGTAGGATAATTGCATATTTCAGTGTGATAATTGTGAAAAGCAAGTGTAACTTTTAAAAGAGAATATTGTCATTTTTGTGCCCAACAATACCCTGAGATTTTTAACTTTAAAATTTTCTTTTTTTCTACTGTCTGTGCAAGGATATTTTACAAGCTTAAAGGCTTTGAATAATTCCTGCTAACTTTGAGATGTGTAATATTGTAACCTTACAGAACTGGGCGTGAGCAAGAGCAGCCCATTGCTTTGAAAAGATTTTTGTGAACAATAATTTTTTTCTGTGCATTTAGATTTTCATGTAAGGGATGGAGCTTGTGTTATAACATTGCTTTAATTTAACAATGTCCTTTGCAGGAGTAGACCTAATAGCAACTTTCTATGGTTGCTTATATGCTGGATGTATTCCTATCACCGTTCGCCCCCCTCATCCACAGAATCTTGCTACCACTCTGCCCACTGTCAAAATGATTGTAGAGGTAGGCATAAAGGCATTCGTTTTTTTTTAAGGCTTGTGATTGTTGATGCAGCTAGTAACAGTGCCTGATGAATTGTTTTGCCTTAGGGTGAAATAATCTTGAAAAAAAACAGTGTACTAATAAATACTCTTTTAAGCTGATTTGAAACGTTCTATTGTTATTTACTTGCTTCATTTTAAATATTTTTCTTTGACTTCAGATTACTGTTTATCTGTTGTGGATGAATATGAAATATTTTTAATCCTGTCCTTTTACAGGTCAGTAAATCTGCATGTATACTTACCACACAAGCGATAATGAAACTGCTGAAGTCTAAGGAAGCTGCAACAGCTGTAGATATTAAAACATGGCCCACTATTTTGGATACAGGTACAAAATGTTTACTCACTAACATAAAGCATAAATAGGTTGTAGACTGAATTATTTATCTTGTTAGAACATAGCTGGCTAACTGGATGGGTGTTTATTGCTTTGTATCAGTGTGTCTGGCCATTACTAGAAAATATTAGGTGTTAGGTGTTAATGCTGTAAAGATATTGTTGTGCTCTTATTCCAAAATAATAATATGATATCCCTTTTTTGTTATATATTTTAAATAGATGATATGCCCAAAAAGAAGCTGGCTAATATTTTTAGACCTCCATCTCCAGATATGTTGGCATACTTGGACTTCAGTGTGTCTACTACTGGTATATTAGCAGGAGTAAAGGTAGAGTAATAGAACAGATGTTGATACACTTAATTTTCTAATGTATAGGTATGTTCTGTATTTATTCCATCCTGATAGACAAAAAAAAAAAATGTTGTGCCACAACAGACCTATTCTGATGGACTGACAAGCACCTAAGCAATTTTGGATTATTATCCCTTTTGCATTTTAGAAGTGTTTAAAAATCGTGACATATTGCTGTATCTTAGTAAATATTTCTATCCATTGTTAAATGTGAAACCTTTTTGTTCAGCCGTTCTCAAGAGAGCCTGTCTTTCTCTTGCAGATGTCACATGCAGCTACCAGTGCCTTGTGTCGCTCGATAAAACTCCAGTGTGAGCTGTACCCTTCACGTCAAATTGCCATCTGCCTTGACCCTTACTGTGGCTTGGGGTTTGCACTGTGGTGCCTGTGCAGGTATGTTGCTTAAACATTAGGTTTACTCGTACATTCTGGCATACTCTTCCTTTCTCTGGAAATTGAGTGAGCATGAGTGAATTACACTGCCAAAGTAGACCAAATTAGCTTTGTTCTAGGTATTTTTGCACTGCTAAATATTGCTAAAGCAAACAATTTAGTATCTCAGAAAATGAGTGTCTTGGATTCAAACAGATAAATTACTGTAATGCAACACATTTTGAGCAGTTGTGAGATTGTTTTTGCCTTTTAAATATCCAGAATGGTTAAAGAATGCGAAATGTGTCCAATAAGAAGAAAAATGGCACATCTTTGTTGATTAAAAATACAGAAACTGGATATGAAAGGTTATTTTATAAACAGATAATAAAATTATGTCACTAAAGTTATGTACACTGTAGTTAACCTTGCGTCTTTAATTCCCCAAACTGGGAAACGTGTGTTGCATGAAGGCAAAAGCTAACTTTGGTAATGCTCAGGAATTTATAATAATCAGTAAGCGAGACAGGGTGAAGGGAAAAGGAAACTTCAGTGATAGAAGAGTTAAAATCTAAAGCTGTGTGCATCTAAAGGCAATGTACCAATTCAGCACAATTTATTGAGGGGCCTGTCTATGCATGCCTTAAAGTCTGTTGCTATAACTTGTAGCCAGCTAATCAATTTGAAACCAGTAAGATATTTACCTTTTTATAGAAAGATGAAATTCGGATAGATGAAGTGGTTTTTTTGGTGGTTTTTTTGTTTGTTTGTTTCAATTCTTTTGTTTCATTTTTACTTTCCGTAGCTTTTTGGCTTTTTTAATAATGGCTTGAAGTTTTTGTGTGTATGTGTGTGTTTCTTCCACACTCTAGCGTATATTCAGGTCATCAGTCTATTCTAGTCCCTCCTCTTGAACTGGAGAGCAACGTGTCCCTGTGGCTGTCTGCTGTAAGCCAGTATAAAGTGCGTGTCACCTTCTGCTCTTATTCAGTGATGGAGATGTGCACCAAAGGGCTTGGGACACAGACTGATATGCTGCGGGTAGGAGGCCTTAATTTTTTTTAACATACTAACCTATCATGTACTTTAAAAAAAAAAAAAATCACTACCTTTTGGGGTTGTATAGGATGGACTCCTCTCTTTTTTTGAAAGCCTTTTGGCCTTGCTTTTGGCAAGCATTGAGTATGCTTGAAGTTTTAGTTCTCACGTTTCTGAAAGAAGTTTGTTTTCAGCTTGACTTATTTGTACAGCCTTTCACATTGATAAATATTTCTGAAATTTGGGGCAAAATGCTTAGCAAGCCCAACGTTTTCTTGTCTGAAACAAACCAAAAGCCTGGCGAGTGTCCCTGGCTTTCAAGATTTCCTCACACCAAAAGTACTGATTTCTAAAGCTGACTTATTGCCCATTGATACGGAGAGAGTGCAAATTGTGCCATGCTAAAGACCGTAACTGTCTTAGGATATGGTGAAACTGGAGCGTTATCAGTTAATCTGAGTTATTTTGCATCATCAGAATTAGATGTCTTGCATATTTAAATTTCAGCTTCCTATAGAGCTCATATGGAAGAGCAAGGTAAGATAATTAGATTCACTAACAGTAGAAATTACATGCCTCTATATACTCTACATATCTTCTTTTTTTTTTTTTTTTTTTTTTTCAGGGAATTTCTTGGCTTTACTAACCAAGCTGTTCGTTTTAGCTGGGGATATTTGGCAGTGTCAGTTCCTGTGTGCAAGAACGAGGCTACATTGTGCTGATTCCCCATACCAAGTCTGTTCCTCTGTCCTCCTGTAAAGCGAATCCCAGCCCTGCGCCGCTTGCTCCAGGCTCATATTCGTACTGCTCAGAGCTAACGTCCTCTCAAGCACTCGTCCTGTATCTTCATTGTGTGGGACTTGGAGTGAGCAGGTCTCCTGTGAATTTCGGGGGGTTGTCTGCCCAGCCTGGAGACAACAATGCTTCTTGGTTTTTGTTTTTTTCCAGCTGTGTTGTAGCCCATCAGAGTGCTACACAATGGAAATGGTCCATTGGGCTCTGCCAGGAGAGCGCAAAGCCTTTTGGCACAGTGCTAGAGGGTTGTCCTGCATGGATGGAGCCAAGCAGAGCACAGTGCAGGTCAATACTGTGTAACTGCAACAGCCACTGAAACTAAGTGTGCTCTTAACTGTGCTCTGGTTTTGTTTCCAAGGGGAGAGTAAGCCTCTCTCCAATGGCAGCACGGATGACTATTTGTATGGATAGCTAGGGCCTTGAGGGAGGAGAATTTGTGAGCCAGCCTGGTGGTGTAGCCTTTTCTGCTAGGCAAACAGGTTGCTGAGTCTTGACCATAGGAAAAACAGTGGTGGGGATGATGATGTTCAGACCTCTTTCTTCAATGTTTTTATTTACTTGTGCTATCTCCTCCAGGAAGAAGTTGCTCTAGTGTTTATTAAAGTCAAGCTGTCCTTCAAATGACCTAAAAATTTTCTAGAAATGCTGATTTTTTTTCAAAATGTTTTATTTTTTCTTTACCAAATCTCTCAAACAGATGAAAGGAGTTAACCTGTCCTGCGTGCGAACATGCATGGTGGTTGCAGAGGAGAGACCAAGGATTACATTAACACAGTCTTTCTCAAAGTTATTCAAAGACTTGGGCCTCTCTGCTCGTGCAGTGAGCACGACATTCGGGTGCCGGGTCAATGTAGCAATTTGCTTACAGGTGAGATTAAACTGTTTATTCCTTCCATTTAACCACAGCGTATTTGAGAACTTTATAGGAGTGCATATTCAGCTGTGTGTTGTTTTTTCTAATGAACTTTATAAGCTGCAGCCCCATTAGATGCTCGCTTCGACAAGTTGAACAAGCCCTGAAAATCTTGGCATGCTTGTGATGAGGACTGTGAATTATCATAGTTTCTCCTTTTTGTATTAATCGAGCAATTGAGATGCCTCTTTAATAGGGAGGATCACTGTTAAGAAAATTGTTTCCTTCTGACTATGAAGGAGCAGTCGTAAATTAAATACAAAACTTCTTATTGATAAGCATCTCGAATATTTTAAGCAGTGCTATTTCTGCTTTAATGCAATTCAGATTTTGCCTGCTGGAAAATAGTTTGTCTACATGGAGTTAAATGAAGGACGGAGTTCTTTTTTAAAAAAAAAAAAAAAAAAAACTTTGTATTAAGTACCAAAGAAAATTGACAAGCTTGGTGTGGGGTTTTGTTTGTTTTTAAAGCTCACAAATCAGCATTATATCATCACGCAAATATGTTTGTCTCTCTTCATGTGAGACTTAGACTTCTTTCAATTAAAGAATTCTTTCAATTAATTTAAAAATAAAAATAGAAGCTTTGAGGGAGACCTTTAAATGCCCTTTAAATATGCAGCTGCACTTCAGACTAGGGTTGATGGTCAACTCAAGTCTGTCTTTCATGGGTAAATTAACCATTTAACATCTAACTTTTTAAAATAGATGTGTTTCTTCTCTAATTAGAAAAAAAAATAAATTGTGCATACCATAACTTGCCTGAAATTAAGAGTATGATGTAGAAATTGTAAAGTACTCTGGATTTTTGGACTGTGCTTGAGCTGACAAATAAACTGCTCAGGTTGCAGATGTGCCAGCACCTAGTGTTTTATATGTGAGGAGTTTCACAGGTGTCACGTGCATTAAATATGTGTGTAATTGTAAATTCTGTTTTCAGACAATTAAAGGAACTGAATTTTGGTCCAGTTCACACTCACTAGTGCAAGCTGGTTGAACCAGCTGGTTCTGTAGAGATCACTACTGTGCTTTTATAAAACAAACTATACACACTATAAAACTCATGGAAAAATAAGATGAAATTAAGAAGGCTGTGTAGAAAGATTTCAAGTTCATTGGGTACAACATTTCAGATGCCAGTGTCAAAGAGCAGTTTTCAGATAATCCTATTTAAATAAGGATTTAGAAAGTAAATTTTGAGTACCCACTGGTCAAACTGTCCAACATACATGAGAGGAGATCACTTTAGAGCCTGGTGAAGAGCTTTTTGCTGCAGTCAAATGTGGAAGATCATAACTATCAAGAGCAGCCTTGAGAATCTAGGAGAAAATACATCTAGTAGCATCCTGGTGATGGCTTCTTCTATCAGGAGCTTCTTCAGATAATATATAGGCATATATGAGAAATACTCGATCACTTTTTATTATAGAATACTCTGGTTTACACTAAGTAAATATCACCAGAATTTTCCCAGGATGTCAAATGCATTTATAAGATGACAGTGTGAAAAATACTTCGGGAAACTGTCAAGAATGCACTGCTGTTGGACAGTTAAACTTCCCCCTCATTTTATACGTTTTTCATCTCTGTTCACTACTCTTGAATAGCCTTCTTTTACTACTTTAACCCATTTCTCCAAAATAAAGTATTTGACATTGTATTTGAGTGAATATAGATTAATAACCAAACTGAATAGATATCTTACACAAGTTAGCATTCAAATAAAAACATAGTATCTTCCAACTTTAGTGGGCTGGTTTTCTGAAAAGGTATTTCCAAAGTTACAAAACAGCCTTTAGATAGTTAGAGATGGAGGAGGGAGTTAAGATATGGAAATAGGCATTACATATTTGCTTGAATGGCTTCTGGTTTATTTTGCGGGTCCTGCATGTTTCCTGCTTAAAACTGCTTAAAAGTGCTGGACTCTTGAGTAATACGAAATGGGAATATTCTTTTCACTCTAAAACAGTATGAGTTTTTTGTTGATCTTACTGTTTGTATCTCATGTCTCCAGTGCCTCTCTGTTTGTATTTTCTTTTTTTTCCCCTTTCTCTCTGTTTCACTCACTTTGCTGGCCTCTGTTACTTCTGTTTGTGGTCCCTCTGTCAGCCAAACAGGCTGGGCAAGCTGGCTGAACAGGTATAGTGCTGCATGTGTGTGCTTGTTATGTCCTAAAGTCAATGTTGTGCTGTAATGTTGCTCTATAAATAATTTGTCCCATAAAAAGGAGTTTTCATTAGAAAAAATCAAGTGTTTTTTTTTTTTTTTCCCCCACAAAAATACGCATTTATTCACAAAGAACACTTATAGTCGAAGTACAGACACTTTCTCAAACAAGCAGAAACTGGGTATAGCAAAGATTAATACTAAAGGATGGGTTGTTATTAAAGATCACACTGTTAATCTGGAATAATTGTCAGTGACACTGAATACAGTGGCGCTGTGAAAGTATTAAAGTAATGCTACTATGAAGGCAGTGTTACTATTCCAGCACTGTAATCTTAAATTGACGGCAAAGTGGCCTCGTTTTGAGTATTTCTCTCTAAAATGAGAAACTTGTTTCCCAGGATGGGAGGAGGAAGATAAACATGTGTTTTCTGCCTGTTTTTTTTCAGGTAAAAATTAAATAGGCATTTCACAGTAGTTTTTAGTTGCTATGAGATTAAGTACTGCTGTGGAAATTACCCTGTTCCTATGTGAGGAGATGATTTTTTTAGGAGTTTAACCTCTGATAGTAACAGAGATCCCTCTGTTTAGGTAGTAACTGTCAGGCTCCTTGAAAAGCTATGTCTAAGTTAAATGCTTTTGTTTCTTAAATAAAAATTGGCAAAACTGCTACAAAGCAGAATGAGCACTAGGAAAGGGATTATGTGCCTGCACAGGTTGGTATTTACATGCTTTGCACACTTGCTCTGTAGTCTTTTTAAAGACATGCGTACCAAAACAAGCTTGGTGTACTTAGTCTTACATATATAAATACATATTTCATGTGTGCATTCATTTACGGTTATTATGGTTAGCATAAAACATCAAAGCTTTATGGCAGTCACTCTAGAGGGGCCATTTTACTGTATTTCTAGTAGAGTAGGGCAGTCATTTATAAGCACCAGTAAAAGAGAAGAATTCGTGAATGTATGCAGTATAGATGCAGTAGGGGTGTGAAAATGAAAACGGGATTTTCTGGCTTCTGTTCAATTTCTTTATTTGTATTCCTAGGGAACAGCAGGACCAGATCCAACAACAGTCTATGTGGATATGAGAGCACTTCGTCATGACAGGTACAGATTATGTTAGTGTTATCTATTGATAGGCTGTAGAGGAGAAAGTTCAGCCTCGTTGCACTGCATTGGTGTGTTAAAATCCCACCTTATTGTACAGCAAAGATCCCCATCCTAGAGGTTCTACCAATGACCACTTTGTGTTGGAACTTTCCACCATCTTCCACCTCACTCATTCTGCTTTTCCTTCCTACACTCTCACTTAGCTGGCTGTCTAGTCATCAAAACCACATATAATCTAGATTCCTTAGCTGTTCCTTACCTAATGATACCTGTGAGGAAATGATCACTTACCAATTGGCTAGTTAGGCAGAGAATCTTAGAAAGATTCAGATGGGGAGGGATTGTTGCATTTCCTGTTTCTTTGGCTCCTGC